TATGGATATCTCTTTATGATATCTGTTGTTATCACGGATATCTTTATGATATCTGTGAATGTTATCACGGATATCTTTATGATATCTGTGAATGTTATCAAGGATATCTTTATGATATCTGTAATGTTATCACGGATATCTTTATGATATCTGTAATGTTATCACGGATATCTTTATGATATCTGTGAATGTTATCACGGATATCTTTATGATATCTGTGAATGTTATCACGGATATCTTTATGATATCTGTGAATGTTATCAAGGACATCTTTATGATATCTGTGAATGTTATCACGGATATCTTTATGATATCTGTGAATGTTATCACGGATATCTTTATGATATCTGTGAATGTTATGTTATCACGGATATCTTTATGATATCTGTGAATGTTATCATGGATATCTTTATGATATCTGTGAATGTTATCACGGATATCTTTATGATATCTGTGAATATTATCACGGATATCTTTATGATATTTGTGAATGTTATCACGGATATCTTTATGATATCTGTATCACGGATATCTTTATGATATCTGTAATGTTATCAAGGATATCTTTATGATATCTGTGAATGTTATCACGGATATCTTTATGATATCTGTGAATGTTATCACGGATATCTTTATGATATCTGTGAATGTTATCACGGATATCTTTATGATATCTGTGAATGTTATCACGGATATCTTTATGATATCTGTAATGTTATCACGGATATCTTTATGATATCTGTGAATGTTATCACGGATATCTTTATGATATCTGTGAATGTTATCACGGATATCTTTATGATATCTGTGAATGTTATCACGGATATCTTTATGATATCTTTATGTTATCACGTGATATGTTTATGATATCTGTAATGTTATCACGGATATCTTTATGATATCTGTGAATGTTATCACGGATATCTTTATGATATCTGTGAATATTATCACGGATATCTTTATGATATTTTTTGAATGTTATCACGGATATCTTTATGATATCTGTGAATATTATCACGGATATCTTTATGATATCTGTGAATGTTATCACGGATATCTTTATGATATCTGTAATGTTATCACGGATATCTTTATGATATCTGTAATGTTATCACGGATATCTTTATGATATCTGTGAATGTTATCACGGATATCTTTATGATATCTGTGAATGTTATCACGGATATCTTTATGATATCTGTGAATGTTATCACGGATATCTTTATGATATCTGTGAATGTTATCACGGATATCTTTATGATATCTGTGAATGTTATCACGGATATCTTTATGATATCTGTAATGTTATCACGGATATCTTTATGATATCTGTGAATGTTATCACGGATATCTTTATGATATCTGTGAATGTTATCACGGATATCTTTATGATATCTGTCAATGTTATCACGGATATCTTTATGATATCTGTGAATGTTATCACGGATATCTTTATGATATCTGTGAATGTTATCACGGATATCTTTATGATATCTGTGAATGTTATCACGGATATCTTTATGGTATCTGTGAATGTTATCACGGATATCTTTATGATATCTGTGTATGTTATCACGGATATCTTTATGATATCTGTGAATGTTATCACGGATATCTTTATGATATCTGTGAATGTTATCAAGGATATCTTTATGATATCTGTGAATGTTATCACGGATATCTTTATGATATCTGTGAATGTTATCACGGATATCTTTATGATATCTGTGAATGTTATCACGGATATCTTTATGATATCTTTATGATATCTGTGAATGTTATCAAGGATATCTTTATGATATTTGTGAATGTTATCACGGATATCTTTATGATATCTGTGAATGTTATCACGGATATCTTTATGATATCTGTGAATGTTATCACGGATATCTTTATGATATCTGTGAATGTTATCAAGGATATCTTTATGATATCTGTGAATGTTATCACGGATATCTTTATGATATCTGTGAATGTTATCAAGGATATCTTTATGATATCTGTGAATGTTATCACGGATATCTTTATGATATCTGTGAATGTTATCACGGATATCTTTATGATATCTGTGAATGTTATCACGGATATCTTTATGATATCTGTAATGTTATCACGGATATCTTTATGATATCTGTGAATGTTATCACGGATATCTTTATGATATCTGTGAATGTTATCACGGATATCTTAATGATATCTGTGAATGTTATCACGGATATCTTTATGATATCTTTATATCTGTGAATCTTTATGATATCTGTGATATGTTATCAAGGATATCTTTATGATATCTGTGAATGTTATCACGGATATCTTTATGATATCTGTGAATGTTATCACGGATATCTTTATGATATCTGTAATGTTATCACGGATATCTTTATGATATCTGTAATGTTATCACGGATATCTTTATGATGTTATCACGGATATCTTTATGATATCTGTAATGTTATCACGGATATCTTTATGATATCTGTAATATTATCACGGATATCTTTATGATATCTGTAATGTTATCACGGATATCTTTATGATATCTGTAATGTTATCACGGATATCTTTATGATATCTGTAATGTTATCACGGATATCTTTATGATATCTGTGAATGTTATCACGGATATCTTTATGAATGAAATGCGATATAACGTCTAGAATCGACATATTTTAATAATGGAAAAGCATTTGTATGCGAACAAGTAGAAAGATGTATTCAATAAAGCAGCGAGTGACAAGGAGGAAGTAAACAAAGCACAGGAAGGGGTAGACATTGACAAGGTATGAGTTTAGGCACGTGGACAGTGTATCATCTGTTTCGCATGCATGGAGAAGGAGAAGATGCATGATCTACATATATGCAAGGTCTTCTCAACATACAAAGTTCGTGTTATACACCTGATATCTACCTCCGTAAAGACATCCGTGATGTATATTTGCTATCCTGATATCTACCTCCGTAAAGACATCCGTGATGTATATTTGCTATCCTGATATCTACCTCCGTAAAGACATCCGTGATGTATATTTGCTATCCTAATATCTACCTCCGTAAAGACATCCGTGATGTATATTTTCTATCCTGATATCTACCTCCGTAAAGACATCCGTGATGTATATTTTCTATACTGATATCTACCTCCGTAAAGACATCCGTGATGTACATTTTCTATACTGATATCTACCTCCGTAAAGACATCCGTGATGTATATTTGCTATCCTAATATCTACCTCCGTAAAGACATCCGTGATGTATATTTTCTATCCTGATATCTACCTCCGTAAAGACATCCGTGATGTATATTTTCTATCCTGATATCTACCTCCGTAAAGACATCCGTGATGTATATTTTCTATCCTGACATCTACCTCCGTAAAGACATCCGTGATGTATATTTTCTGTCCTGATATCTACCTCCGTAAAGACATCTTTGATGTATAATTTCTATTCTGATATCTGAGCAAGAAGTCGCTAATGAAATTTTAGTGTTAAATTAGTTTATCCAATAAAAAACAAACAAAATCATGCAAGTATGGAGAATAAACATTGTTAAATATTAAAGTTGGTTTATTTTTATCGTCATGTGAAAAAACAAATTGATCTAATTGATTAAATAACAAGGAAGCAGCACAAGTTGTACGCCGCCAGTGGATAAATTATAGGCAAAAAGTGTGACATTTCTGCAGTAGTGAAACTCCGAGTCGTATTTTTTAAACGCCCGAAGAATTGTAGTGCTGTAAAAGTTGTTAATCAACTGCAAAATGATCGATAAAAACGCTTGTTTTGTACAGGATTTGATTAAAGCTGCGAAAAAAATAGGATTGAAAATAGACCAATGTACGTAACTTTTCGCGTCAACAAACGTTACGTGCACGCTTCCCTCAGTAAATTTGTTTGAAAACGCATCATCGACACGGCATTTACAAATTTACGAAGTGTCAACACAAGGTACGATATCATTGTCGTAATTTTCATCAATCAACTGGAGTTCGGAAAATGTATCAGGTAATAAAATATAATTAATTTTCGTGTCCGGCGTTTTAATAGCATTTCTGGCATGCTTCAAGATTCATATTTTTGTGTCCATAATACACGCAACATATGTGTAACTGCTTTATTGCTGAAATGAGAAGGTTGCAAAAATATTGATAGAATTTTCTTTATACGACAGTAACACAATGAAAAACTTACTTTTCTTGTTTACCAAGAACATAATTCTGATTATATTTATCTCTTAATAACTGCATGTAACATTGACAAAACAATCAGAGGAAACCTGTTTTCATAGAATTTCTGAAATACATGATACATTTGACAAATGCAATTTTTTAAGTCGAGATGATGGACAATGCTTTGAGATAAGCAAACCTAATACTAAACTTTAAACAGGTCAAAGAACCATCAATCTCAGTTTGGGAATAGTGTCAATGTTACATGCTCTAAATTCATTAATTCTCCTTGTTCTTGACTGAAGTAAGTTTCAAAATGATTTTTTCTGTTATACATAGAAAGACACCATTTACAGTTATACTTCAAACAAAATTTGTAGGCTTATGAATATTTTTATTTTTGTCTTGCAATGTCACACTTAGGGTTACATTAGCTAATTCTTGCCCATCTACCTCCGTACATCCGTGATATATATTTTTCATACCGTTTCTGTAAGGAAATGTTTTATTGGTTTATTCATTACCTCTATTTCTGTATTACAATGTACACGCGACGTTAGTGGCTAAATATATTTATATCGACCATAGGGTGTACCTTTGTTCGCCGTGTCGGTACCACGTGACTTATGTTGGGTCCCGCCCACTTATAACCGCCTAAGGATAGCTGTACATTGATTTATTGTAGACTATATATACAGTTGGTTTACAATCGAATAATTGTAAAGTGACTGCTGACAAAACAAGAGAGAATAACACCGATCTCTACGACTTCCAAAGACAGAAATCTTATTCTACGTTAAGAAGGCACGTGCTCCACACTAAAACAATTAAATGCCTATCGGAGTTTTCATCCTTTCGGTAAGTGATTTTTAAACATTCTACTTACTATTGAGTTCTTTGGTTATATATTTCTTTCTTATTTTTATCCGCATCTTCTCTCCTTTTTTCTCTAATCGGGATTATAAAGATGACATGCGTCATTTTTTCCCAATCCTGATGTTGGGTATTGTTTCATTTTCATTTTAATATATGTATTCCTGGCGACATTCGCTATATAAATCAAGGTTACATTTTAGTAATGTTACGCATCTAAAAGGATGATAAAAGCTTTGACATAAAAGACATTTAAAGCATCAGAAATGTTAAATTTTATATCGCAAACGATCCAACATATTTCATAAAAATATTAAAATCATGACAACAACACTGTCCATCAACGTGCCACTTAGTTTTGATACAAACTCTGGACCAACGACATCTCTTAGAGTGATATGTTACCATTCCGCAAACAGTAATCATATAGGGACTTGGTGTGGGTGTCCTTGTAGTAGGTGGTAGAAACCTCAGTGAACAGTGACGGTAATGTCGGCTTCCTGAGGAACGCAAACCGCCCATGTAAGAATCGGACCACAAACCGCCCGTGTAAGTATCGGACCACAAACCGCCCGTGTAAGTATCGGACCACAAACCGCCCGTGTAAGAATCGGACCACAAACCGCCCGTGTAAGAATCGGACCACAAACCGCCCGTGTAAGAATCGAACCAAAAACCTCGGATTTTCACTTAACTGTATGAGATTATGAGTGATCGGAGTTCCTCTGATTGTGAGCTTTTATACAGTCCATGGGGTTGGAAAAGTTCTACGGATCTCGAGATTGCCAGTAATTTGTATTTCTAACTTGCACTTTTTATGTAAAAAGCTTCATCACGATACGTTTTTGTTCATAATTCATACAATACATACATATATATACATAAATAATTACCAATATCGTGGATATCAAGATATCATTGTTTTTTGTGTTAAAGATAAATATTTCTAAAAATATATTTATAACAAAGTGATGAATCCCATTCCGAAAACTGTAAACATGTAGCTCTTCCTGAAATATTGATGGTCAAAACCCCTTATAATCAATATACACCGTGTGTATTGATGTGACGTATGTAGAGTGTGAACCGCTAATAACAGACTTGTTCGTTTATCGCATGTCGTTACGAATGACAATGAATTTCCGGGTTCTACATTAACGATTCGATGTTGTAATAAGTTGTAAATTACGTTAATCATTAAAACACCCACCATCGATTATAGTATACAATTAAGTACTCTGACTTTCACTTTAAATAGATCATGGCGACAGACAGACATGCTCTCACTGGACGCACACACCTTAGTATGCTTATTGATTTGTCAAGATGACGAAATGTTAATAAAGACATTTTATTTAATTTGCCAATATACGCTAAAATAGATAAATATGATGTGAGATTTTGACGTCATAACGTGTTGAACGTCCTTGAAAAAGACCTATCGAGCAATACACACTGTAGTACATGTAAACGTCTCAATATGTACGGATTAATAACATCGAGAGTTCACTCAATGGAAATGTCTATAATTCAAATAATGCTTTCTTTAGAAGTGAACCTTGCCAAAATACCCCGGACACACGAAGATTTTTTTTCAGGGAAACAATAAATTGTAAAAAGTAGCAAATAAATTGAGGAATTTACACATTAAATTTTTATATATCAGTTCCTCGATTTTCACTTCTACTACTACCAATTAATATTTTTTCTAGAAGAACATCTCATCGTGTGTGAGTATGATGACAAACTCAACTTCTCAAAAATGAAATTATTTGAATGACAGACATGTTCATTGAGTTAGCTACCGTGTTAATTTCGCTGTTGATGACAATGCTCCTGACGACTCTGACTCTGTACGTCATTACAGTCGTGTGGTGTATTCAAACAAAGCAGTGATATCAATATACTCTCACGGTGGTCAGTTCTTTCATTCAGTAATCAAGATTACTGTCCGTATCTGATCAATATCCAGGACACTGTGGCGTGAGAATACTGACCGCTCCCGTGTTGTACGTTTGAAATATGTACTTAACGACACGTAAACGTTCAAAGTTCTCCGGAAATCGACCGTTCATAATTGTTCAGTCTAACAGAGACACAGGTAGAGCTAATTGTTTATAACAACCTTTGTATAGGAAGGAGAGTTACAAAACATTCCTGATACCTAGCTGTAGTATAAAGTGACACAAAACTACACTAAGAACGACACATGGTTTTACATTTGTGTAGAAATATCAAAGCGAAATCTTTGATTGTGCGGTTGTACATTCAGCAACTTACATGTCAGGTTACCTACTGAAATTGAATGAACGAAATAAAATATTTAAACTAAACTATGGAAAGAGGTTTCAATCATTCATCTCAATGATTTTTTTGTCATTCCCTGCCGAAAATCTTTCCTATATCTTCGGTTATATTTACTTAATCATTCATTTCAAACATATTCTTATTGTATCGGTGAAATCTTATTTTTTTGAATATGTAATGAACAAATCAATTTCTCATACGAAATTTGCGTTATGACATTAACATTTATATTTTCGATAAATAAATGTTGTTTCGTAAAATTGAAAATATTGCCTTGAAATAAAACTTTCCTGTCGTCGTGGCTTTGGCATCGAATATTGCGATGTATTTTCTCTTGTTAAAATTACCAGTTCCCCCCCCCCCCCCCCCCCCCCAAAAAAAAAAAAAAAAAGAAAATGAAAGAGCGACCCTGTAATTTTGAATCGTTCATGGTTTCGAGGCTGGGTGTTTCAATATTTCGGGTATTTAAATTATTAACCAATGAATACAATCGGGATCAACTTATATAAAATTTTCGTAAACACACCTCTGTAATATTGTTCTAATTCCTTGAAGATTTTTTTACATGAACTTGATAACCCGATCGAGTGTCTAGAACATTGTAAGACAATATGAATTCAAAGGTTCTTGACACCAAAAAAACAAGCTTCATTTAAAAAGTAAACAAAATATTGACTTTATCACACCATAGTTTCTTCGCCTCTTAAACTGTCTCACGAGATTAGCATTTATGTTTCTAAGCCGGCCACCTTTGTTGATGTTAAATAGCAAGATCAACGTTTAGTTGTGTTTGGATCTGAATATCGTCACGATACGCTTGTGTTTGTAATGCTAGTATCGATACAAGCGTCAAAAGGACAAATATAAAATAGCGCTAGTCCTTCAATCTTGCATATACATGGCAATATTTATATTTTAGATAGAAAAACAGGATTAAAGGTTTGAAAAGTTTGTGACTAGAAGACTTATTCAATAGATTTAACTTCCGCAAAAGTCTTTACTTGTTTTGAAAATCATCCGTAAGTTTGGAAATTATCTGTTTCTCTGTTTCAGATGCTCTACACAGTGAATGTGATAGTAGACGCCCGTTTATCCTGTGTAAGTATCATACCGTGTGTGATTATCATACTACACCGTGTGTGAGTATTTTATTACACCGTGTCTGAGTATCATATTACACCGTGTGTGAGTATTTCATTACACCGTGTGTGAGTATCATATTACACCATGTGTGAGTATCATATTACACCGTGTGTGGGTATCACGTTACACCGTGTGTGAGTATCATATTACACCATGTGTGAGTATCATATTACGCAGTGTGTGAGTATCATATTAAACCGTGTGTGAGTATTTTATTACACCGTGTGTGAGTATCATATTACACCGTGTGTGAGTATCATATTACACCGTGTGTGGGTATCATATTACACCGTGTGCGAGTATCACGTTACACCGTGTGTGAGTATCATATTACAACGTGTGTGAGTATCATATTACGCCGTGTGTGAGTATCATATTAAACCGTGTGTGAGTATCATATTACAACGTGTGTGAGTATCATATTACGCCGTGTGTGAGTATCATATTACACCGTGTGTGAGTATCATATTACACCATGTGTGAGTATCATATTACACCGTGTGTGAGTATCATATTACACCGTGTGTGAGTATTAAATTTCGCTGTGTGTTACTGTATTATAACTCCGTCTTTATGACGCCCGGGTAATTTGTGTGAGTATATTACCGTATTTGTGACGTTACAGCAGATGTCTTGGTAATTTGTGTGAGTATATTATCGTATTTGTAACGATACAGCAGATGTCTTGGTAATTTGTGTGAGTATATTACCGTATTTGTGACGATGTAGTGGACGTTCTTGTAACTTATATGAGTATACAGAAAACATATTTCTTGTTTGTTTGTTTTTTAAATTATTATTTTACTGCCTCAAATTGGAGGATTGCAACGTGAAGCGCGAAAACAATCGTTGATTCACCGAGAAAAAAAATTAAAATGTTATGAAGGAAATCAAATACCGGTTTTAGAGACGATACTTAAAAATCGGAAATGAGCGAGAAATGTTTATAACAAAGGATACTAAACTGTTTCGCAGATTTGTATCTTTGGGGTAAATATTGATGTTTCTTACTCAATTCGTCTTCTGTGCTTTCTTTTAGGATTTGGAATGTGGCGAATCTGCAACATGTCAGTTCGTGAGAAGTACATGTGATTACCCTCCCTGCCCACGAGTTCCCGTGTGTGTAGGTAGGTATCTGTGATTATCTCCCCTGCCCACGAGTTCCCGTGTGTGTAGGTAGGTATCTGTGATTATCTCCCCTGCCCACGAGTTCCCGTGTGTGTAGGTAGGTATCTGTGATTATCTCCCCTGATGACAAGTTCCAGTGTATGTAGGTAGGTATCTGTGATTATCTCCCCTGATGACAAGTTCAGGTGTACGTAGGTAGGTATCTGTGATTATCTCCCCTGATGACAGGTTCCAGTGTACGTAAGTAGGTATCTGTGATTATCTCCCTTGCTGACAAGTTCCAGTGTACGTAGGTAAGTATCTGTGATTATCTCCCCTGTCCACGAGTTCAAGTGTACGTAGGTAGGTATCTGTGATTATCTCCCCTGATGACAAGTTCCAGTGTACGTAGGTAAGTATCTGTGATTATCTCCCGTGATGACAAGTTCCAGCGTACGTAGGTAGGTATCTGTGATTATCTCCCATGATGACAAGTCCCAGTGTACGTAGGTAGGTATCTGTGATTATCTCCCCTGATGACAAGTTCCAGTGTACGTAAGTAGGTATCTGTGATTATCTCCCTTGATGACAAGTTCCAGTGTACGTAGGTAAGTATCTGTGATTATCTCCCCTGTCCACGAGTTCAAGTGTACGTAGGTAGGTATCTGTGATTATCTCCCCTGATGACAGGTTCCAGTGTACGTAGGTAGGTATCTGTGATTATCTCCCCTGATGACAAGTTCAGGTGTACGTAGGTAGGTATCTGTGATTATCTCCCCTGATGACAGGTTCCAGTGTACGTAGGTAAGTATCTGTGATAATCTTCCCTGTCCACGAGTTCAAGTGTACGTAGGTAGGTATCTGTGATTATCTCCCCTGATGACAAGTTCCAGTGTATGTAGGTAGGTATCTGTGATTATCTCCCCTGATGACAAGTTCAGGTGTACGTAGGTAGGTATCTGTGATTATCTCCCCTGATGACAGGTTCCAGTGTACGTAAGTAGGTATCTGTGATTATCTCTCTTGCTGACAAGTTCCAGTGTACGTAGGTAAGTATCTGTGATTATCTCCCCTGTCCACGAGTTCAAGTGTACGTAGGTAGGTATCTGTGATTATCTCCCCTGATGACAAGTTCCAGTGTTCGTAGGTAGGTATCTGTGATTATCTCCCTTGATGACAAGTTCCAGTGTACGTAGGTAGGTATCTGTGATTATCTCCCCTGATGACAGGTTCCAGTGTACGTAAGTAGATATCTGTGATTATCTCCCTTGATGACAAGTTCCAGTGTACGTAGGTAGGTATCTGTGATTATCTCCCCTGATGACAAGTTCCAGTGTTCGTAGGTAGGTATCTGTGATTATCTCCCTTGATGACAAGTTCCAGTGTACGTAGGTAGGTATCTGTGATTATCTCCCCTGATGACAGGTTCCAGTGTACGTAAGTAGGTATCTGTGATTATCTCCCTTGATGACAAGTTCCAGTGTACGTAGGTAGGTATCTGTGATTATCTCCCCTGTCCACGAGTTCAAGTGTACGTAGGTAGGTATTTGTGATTATCTCGCCTGATGACGAGTTCCAGTGCGTGTAGGTAGGTATCTGTGGTTACACTCCCTGTCCACGAGTTCCAGTGTGTATACGTATCTGAGATTATCTCAATTGATGAGTGTAGGTAAATATGTTATTATCTCCCTTGACCACGAGTTCACGTATGAAAGTAGATATATGTTATCATCTCCCCTGACGACGAGTTCGCTTGTGTTATATATCTATTATTATCTTCCTTGACCATGAGGTCACGTGTGTAAGTAGATATCTGTTATCGTCATTGACAGCGAGTTCGCATGTGTTGTCTAATATTATCTCCCTTGACCACCAGTTCACGTTTGTTAGATTTCTGTTATTAAAATCTATTTCCTAACACACAGGTGGAGAGACAGAGCTGGAGACCCGACGGCCAGGCCATTGTCCAATGCCTAGTGCGGCGGCACCGTGTGTGACGCAATGTAGACGCGACAGCGACTGTCGGGGGGAGGAAAAGTGTTGTTTCAACGGCTGCGGACGCATGTGTCGACAACCTTTCCAAAGTAAGTTATAAGTAAAATCAAGGTTACCATATGGTAAACCCCGATACGTATAGAATAAGTACACATGATTAAGTCTCATTTTGATCAGTTAGAAGGAATGTTTCTTCATCTTTCATTAATTGACAAATCATTAATGAAAGTGATTAGTGTCCAAATACATGACTTATTACGAGTCTGTGTAGTATATTGAATTTACAGAACGGGCTGGTTGGTGTCGGTCCAATGTGATACATGTATTACACAAGCCTTGAAGTCAGTGCCTTATGAAATATCAAACGAAATCAATAGATTGAATACGACATTGTTGTTTACGAGAAATATTCTATTCATTTCATCAGTCAGATTCACGAGAAAATCTTTTCCCCATACCAGACAATCTCTACTCATACGTAACATTAATATTTTCATTTAGAGTTTCCTGACATTAAGGGATTGTTGTTATGCTTAGTTACGGCAATGTCGCATTTTATCTGTTGGGTCAGGATACTGTAAATTATTTATTTTTTTGCGAAGGATTATATTTCGCGTTTATTAGCGAGCAGCATCATTCGCAAATTAAAATCCCCCCGCGAATATACGCGAATATTTGTTGGTGTTGTCCTTAAATTAATTACTTTATAGTGTGGTACCTAGGAAATCATGTATTCGGAAATAAGACAATCACTTACCTTTCGCGAAATGAAATGTTCCATAAAGTGATTTACAGTAGTCAAAACAAACAAAGGTTCACGAACAGGTGAAACCAATGTCATGACCCCTACCCCAACCACACTACAATGTACTTTTGTCTCATTCATTAAGTATCGGATGTTACTCTGTATGATTTGGTCAGCACTTGGGACCTTGTTAGAGAATCATGTATCATATATATCTTTCAACCTCCTGGACAAACCAACTCCTGGAAACAAATGTTATTTCGAAGTAAACACGAAAGTCAAAGTCGATAAGAAAATTCTTGACAAATCAATCAACATATGTCATACTTGACGTCAGTCATTGTAGTGAGAGTTTGATAAGAACATTGACCACTTCTCGGACAAGGTTATGACTATTGGTCACTAATCGATTATCGTTACCAAACTTTGACCGTCTAATCAGAACGATTAACGGCTGACCGCCGCCTGACCAGCGCGGGAGTGTCCAGTTATCGACGACTAACAGAAGCTATTCAAACAATCACTTGAAATCCCCTATGTGGTTAGACAATATGTTTACGGCCGGAATACTTGTAAAATGAGTGGTTAGATATGATGTTTACGGCCGGGATACTGGTAAAATATGTGGTTAGATATGATGTTTACGGCCGGGATACTGGTAAAATATGTGGTTAGATATGATGTTTACGGCTGGGATTCTGGTAAAATATATGGTTAGATATGATGTTTACGGCCGGGATACTGGTAAAATATATGGTTAGATATGATGTTTACGGCTGGGATTCTGGTAAAATATATGGTTAGATATGATGTTTACGGCCGGGATACTGGTAAAATATATGGTTAGATATGATATTTACGGCCGGGATACTGGTAAAATATGTGGTTAGATATGATGTTTACGGCCGGATACTGGTAAAATATGTAGTTAGATATGATGTTTACGGCCGGGATACTGATAAAATATGTAGTTAGATATGATGTTTACGGCCGGGATACTGGTAAAATATGTGGTTAGATATGATGTTTACGGCCGGGATACTGGTAAAATATGTGGTTAGATATGATGTTTACGGCCGGGATACTGGTAAAATATGTGGTTAGATATGATGTTTACGGCCGGGATACTGGTAAAATATGTAGTTAGATATGATGTTTACGGCCGGGATACTGGTAAAATATGTAGTTAGGTATGATGTTTACGGCCGGGATACTGGTAAAATATATGGTTAGATATGATGTTTACGGCCGGGATACTGGTAAAATATATGGTTAGATATGATGTTTACGGCCGGGATACTGGTAAAATATGTCGTTAGATAAGATGTTTACGGCCGGGATACTGGTAAAATATGTCGTTAGATATGATGTTTACGGCTGGAATACTGGTAAAATATATGGTTAGATATGATGTTTACGGCTGGGGATTCTGGTAAAAAAGGAACTGACCATATACAGACGGTAACAACTCGCTATTAGGTCACGTGACATCGAATTCAATTGGTTCTTTTTTGTAATGTGTCTTTGTAGTTTGAAGGATAATCACAAATTTTAAAATGCACTCTCGAAATTAAACACAAAAAGTGGTTCGCGACTGTTTCTGTATTTTTTATTTGGCTTTCTATCAATTCATTGCTTTGAAGATATTAATAAACTACTTGTCTTAACTTATGACATTGCCTATTTTGGTTATTAAGTAGCGATATTTCACTACAGGTAATGATACAACGCCCCAACCGATGTAAACAAAAACACTTGTGTGAACAAGTGACACCGGAATATCTATTTCATTGTGGAAGACACACTATTTTATTGTGGTAGACACACATATTTGTGGGTGTTTTTCAGTCCCGGTCCCTATCGGCTGGCAAACTTATCGCTACACCATCTGACAGAGTGAAATGAAGGGCGGTAACTCTGTGAGATCAGAATGGTGTCTTTGTACGATCTATTTTTATCAAATAACTGACTTATTGTTTCGTATCATATGTCCATCTCATCAATATCTTAATACACCTGTAATAACACTATAATGACGTTACAAAGAAGTAGTGAATAAGCTACAGTCCGAATCGATGTAAGCCTGTATCATAGCGAAATTAATTTGAGCGGTTATTTTCAGAGATATGAATTATGTAACAAATAGAATCTTAAACACATGTTCGTGTTATGTGGAATTCATAATGCTCATTGTATTTTGTAACTCGCCTAAATGTTCTTGATATGTATGGTCATTGAATTGCTTAAATAAATTCTATATCATAGACACTTGTGTGAAATCTTCGGTATGTATTGTGACGTCATAAATAATGACGTACATGATTGGTAGTCTCGGTAGTAAAACCTGGGAGAATTCGAACTCCAACAGGCTTACAGGGCAATATTTCAGAGAGTTTTCCGTATCAATACCAAGTATATGATAAATAGTATCTTTAATTCTCGCTTACGTCTCGCCTAACGAGTTTTCCCTTTCTTTTGGATTTTTTTGGTTATACCTCCGGATCGGAAGATCGGGAGGATATTGTTTTTGTGCTGTCTGTTTGGCTGTTGTTTGTCTAGTCTCAGATTTAACCTTATCCATAACTCTTGCACGTAAAATGTAGGGCTTTCATATCTGGTATGTGTGTTCCTTGTGACAAGACCTTTCCGGTGGTACCAACATTTCCCACTTTGTCCCACTTCAGAATTTTTGTAACAACCGGGTGCATAGTTTTTTTTATAAATATATCTTGTTTTCTCACTTTTTAAAATTTTGTTTTGTTTGTTCTACACACGTAGGTGTGTCCAGAAAGCCAGGAACTTGTCCGTGGCATCTCCGGCGGGAATTGTTGTGTGGAATGGACTGTGGATCAGACCAGGACTGCCCTGGAGTGGAAAAATGCTGCGTGACTTCATGTGGAAGTACGTGTTCGAAACCATGTTACCATTGGTTACGAGGATCAGGAACTAGATCCGGTTTTTGGAGTCTGCCTTATATTTGCCAGCGATCGTGAATGAATAAAGTGAGATCTGTAATTCAGAGAGTATCCAGTTCACCCCTCTAAAAGGGTGAACACTAACAACAAGAACTGCTAGGTTTTTTGTCTTATCATTTAATTTTTTTTTATTTTTGTCTAGACTGTCGATAATGTTTCTGCTTAAAACGTCTTATTAAACATTGACTGAGCTAAGGGTAGGATATAGAGTGACCAAGATTGGCGAAAATTTTTTCTTTCATTCTGTATAAATTCTACACTTTCAAAATAGAGTGTACGAAGGCAGGTAATTCAGTGTACGTTATTCTTCAGACAGTTTTCAAAATTTCTCGATTGTCGAATACTGCTATTTCTATGTTTTTTAAAATATTGTTAAGTATCGAACATCTGGAGTAAATTTCGTTCCGCCTGATCTCTATTTCCCGTAACTTAGATACAGTTTCATATCATGGACTTTCATCAAGCTTTCTGATTGGTAAATAAATTATCATTGAGGATTTAAAACAGGATTCTCATTATTCAGTGAACTTAGCATTTTTGAATCTCATGTACACCACGTATGTTGATATCAAAGAGTTTGAATAAATGATATACACTAGAATATCTTATATTGTATGTGCTGTAACAATGGGAGCATGAGAGTTCGTTCCAGTCTAGATAACTCCATAGATCAAATGTTGATCTAACCTTTCAAAACCCGATAGCACGATTAGCAGATCTGGTTATGTCCAAACCTTACTCACTCAAACTATGATGAACTTTCAAGTTATAATTTGAATAATTCATTCATATGCGAAATGACCGTTGTCAGCCCCATTTCTGTTCGGTAAGACAACAGTTGGTAAATGTAACAAAGCGGATGAATGTTATATGATAAAGATGGGGTTCACGTGAGAGACAACATCAAGACATCGTTTTATATTCCACGAGAACTTTGAATTTCAAGAGAGCAAGAGAACATAACTAAGTCTGACAAAGTGTTAATTCGATAGGAGATGATAAGATAATGGCATAAAGCTAGAATGAAGTATGTACACATTTGGTCTAGGCCATAGAACAGAGTGTTCAATTGTAAACGAAATACTGAATTATCTTACGTTGGTGCTTCAAAGTTTATCAACATTGCACAATATTTTATAAACGATTTTATAAATAGTAACGGTGACCTAAATGTTGGCCCTGGCACACAGAAACACGAACTTGTTCAACGTATTGTGATATTTTACAAATAAGTGAAATTTGAGCAAAATCGGTTAGAAATGAAGTTGCTAGAATGCAGAAAAGATTTTCTATAAACAGTGACGGTGACCTAAAACGATGACCCGGCACAATGAAACACGAACTTGTTCAAGGTATTGTGATATTTTACAAATAAGTGAAATTTGAGCAAAATCGGTAGTGAAATGAAGTTGCTAGAATGATGACAAATAAAGTGAACATTATATTACAAACGTAACACTATATCCCCTTCGCGATCTCCGCAAGAGGAAAATTAAAAGTTGTTAAATCTGCTTTTCACATTCCATGTCAGGTATCAATTTATATCCTTCCACCATGTGCAGAGGGGTTTTTAATCGCCTGCATACGAATACAACATCTGAGTAGTCTTAATGTAATAAGACGACTTATTTAACACCGTATTACAGTGTGATATAAACCAAAGGCACAGAGGCCCACATATCGACTCGAAAATTCCAGTTTTTACAATCATCGAGCTGATCAGCTCAACAAAAACACTCGTTTTAACCTTTCACTACACATGTTTTTTTACTCAAGAAAAATGTCTGACAACGATTTCTCATTTGCTTAATAAAATAGGAATTCATTTCATATCACCATTTACTGCTGGACTAGGAAAATACATGTTTAACTGCTGATATACACGATTACTGCATTTGTCACCAAAACGATGCACCATTCGTGTTAATTGGTAATATACTGTATCACTGAGCAGTTTCGTAACATTTCCATAATGCAGGTAACCCTTACACTTTGTCATTGCTATAGACCAAGCGCAGGTGAATCTGAATCAGCAATATGTTTAGTTGTCCAAGAATAATCCAAATGTTCGGAAAGTAGCGAAGATGGAAATTTCAACAAAATCGGGCAGAAATATCCTCACTTCCTGTGAACGTGTGATATCTCTATCGCACAGAACATACATGCTAAACCGGAAATTTAAGACGTGCCTGATTAATGTTGACATTTTAATATCATTTAAAGGTAGTAATCCGACCAAATTTGTTTTTTTCAGACAAAGTTTATGGCGATGAGTTAGCATTATGGTTGCTTTAAATGAGTGTTACAAATAAGTCAATAAGTGAGGGTTACAAATAAGTCAATAAGTGAGGGTTACACATACGTCAATAAGTGTTACACATACGTCAATAAGAGTGAGGGTTACAAATAAGTCAATAAGTGAGGGTTACAAATAAGTCAATAAGTGAGGGTTACACATACGTCAATAAGTGAGGGTTACACATACATCAATAAGTGAGGGTTACAAATAAGTCAATATGTGAGGGTTACAAATAAGTCAATAAGTGAGGGTTACAAATAAGTCAATAAGTGCGGGTTACAAATAAGTCAATAAGTGAGGGTTACACATACGTCAATAAGTGAGGGTTACACATACATCAATAAGTGAGGGTTACAAATAAGTCAATATGTGAGGGTTACAAATAAGTCAATATGTGAGGGTTACAAATAAGTCAATAAGTGAGCGTTACAAATAAGTCAATATGTGAGGGTTACAAATAAGTCAATATGTGAGGGTTACAAATAAGTCAATAAGTGAGGGTTACAAATAAGTCAATAAGTGAGGGTTACAAATAAGTCAAAACAAAAGTCGTTATTTGACTCATTTAGATTCAACATTTGTCTGCAATTTGTCTCGCTGCTCATGTATGTCTAGCATGTTAGAGTTAAGGGACAGAACAATGGTCATTCCGTAGGCAAAGCCTGGGGTTAGATAATCGTGGATCTCCTCCTCGGTGAGAGATTTCTTTACCCTACCCTCAGACTAGGTCCCTATTAATCTGTTATATACAGAGGCGGTGTCTTTCCCACACCTAAATACATGCTACGTTTGTTTTATCCTAGCAAATTTCATTTTATAACACAATCTGAAAAAAAAACCAAAAGGTCCATTGGCCTTAACGATCATCTGACTATAAAGACCTATATATATATATTAAAGATGGACCTAAAACAAATTGCTCCACTACGCTACAGCTTACGTAGAAGATATTGTTGATTCATACAGACATTTTCTGCAAACTTGAAATCATATTCTTTATACATGCACTACACAATTGCCATTACTCCGGACATACTGCTTGTTGAAAAACAATCTACAGGCCCAATATCAAGACTCTTGGCCTCCCGGTTATTCAAAAGAAGCTGCTTAAGTTTTCAATACATTTGACCCCTGTGACGTTGAAAGTTGGTCCAATATCAGCACCTTGGGCCTTCTGATTATTGAGAAGTCATTTAATCATTTTAACACGTTCGATACCCGTGACCTTGAAAGTAGGTCAATGTCATTAATATTAACAAAGTTGGTAGCCCTTCATCTTAGCATGCTACAGGTCTAATAATATCATCCTTGGTTATTGAGATGAAGACATTTAAAGATTTTAACATATTTGATCCATGATACCTTTCGCCCGAATCAACTTTTTTAAGAAATGATTTCCCACTCTCTATGATCACTAAATTCGCATGAAATCCATTCAAACATTAAGACAGAGTAGCATTTGGAAGTAAAATATTGATTAACTTTCCCATTTTTGGTCCCGCCCACCACCAGGTCCATTGGGATTGAATCAACCTTCTGAATTTACCAAATGATTCCCCTTCCTCGACGATGATTCTACGTAAATCTGGTTGAACTCCATTCAAGCATCAGAAAGGAGTAACGTTTGAAGCAAACGTCCTATTTTGCCTTTGGGGACCAAAAATCCTGCCAAAATTACCCAATCATCAGCATATCAGAATATTTTCACTTGTACCAGCACTATTTATCAATTGAAAAATGTAATGGAGATAACAAAGTCACCTGTTCTACACCATTCCTTACACCAAACCACACTGTATAAACCAGTCTGCCACAATATCTTAAGTGTTTACACATGGAAGCAATTACGCTGCACGAGTTTCCTGACAAACCATACTTATCAGACCTTATTTCGAAAATGTGTTTGTCGATCTAAGCTATCATGTGGGTCATTAAGATCTGCAAAAGCACAAGAAGTTGAAAGACAGACGTCGATGGTGAGATATGATCCAAGGTACGTGTGACATTTCCAATTTTCGAACCATATACAGGGGAATAAAGGAAAAGTATTATAGTGACAAGGTGTGTAACTCCTGACCAGGGAAAATTGAACACTTTCTTATATTCTATGTGAAGTATGGCACAATGGCATAGATGTTCCCTTTAAGACATTTTAAAAAAATCTTTCCACTAAAGTATTTGATCAAATGTAGATAAGAAATGGCTCGGTAGACATTTTCCTGTCTGGTTAAAATGTCCTCTCATCTCTAATGGGTACCTAAATAACTAAACCAAAAATCGCGAAATCTACACCTGTGGCGGTACCCCATTCATGGCCCCCATCAGCAGTCTTGTTTATCACAATACCGTCACAGCCCTTAGAATGTAACTAAACAGCATTTTAAAATTCTTATGTATCCATTAAAAACCTGTGATATCGAAACCCCCCTACCCCCTCACCTCTGTAACCACATTATCTTCCTCCCTCCCCCTACCCCTCCCATCTGTAACCACATTACCCCCTCCCTCCCCCTACCCCCTCCCCTCTGTAACCACATCTTCCTCTCTCCACCGCCCCCCTCAACTCTGTAACCACATTACCCCCCTCCCTCCCCCTACCCCCTCTCCTCTGTAACCACATTACCCCCTCCCTCCCCCTATCCCCTCTCCTCTGTAACCACATTATCCCCCTCCCTCCCCTACCCCCTCCCCTCTGTAACCACATTATCTTCCTCACTCC